TATACTTGCTTTTATTCTTTTTTTCTCAGTTTTAGTAATTTGTCTAGGACATTTTCAGGTAAGACTTTATGTGTGGCAGCCTTGTTTAATAATTTTTTATTGATGACGTATCATTATATTTGAGTTCATTATTTCAGTTGACATCCGCTTACGTAGCTTACTTTTGACAATGTTTATAAGGCCGAAAATCCGCTATACTTCGGCGTTTGAATGTGGAAGCGACAGCACGCTTATAGCTAAGTCCACTAATTCCCGAAAGGCATTCAACCTAGTCGCATTTTTGTACATGGAGACTTAAGCTTGCGCGCAAAATTTCACTATATCATCATCATCACCTTCTGTTATTGACCATTTAAGTTCCATGCCATTTGCTCCCTACTCAGATCTTTATTTCTGGCTATAAGCCTTCTTCCTCGGTGGCAACTCCATTGAAAATTTTCACGAAACAAATAAAACTGAGCTAAAAAAACTAACACTAAACTCGAACGTGGGAAAAACCAGTTCTTGTCAGGTACTAAAACTTAAAGAATTAATATAACGAAAAGCAAAACAGCTTCATACCACAATGCAAAAGCGAGATAAAATAATTAACGAATCAGCAACATTTTATTCGGAGAATATCCGAACGATCACGAACGATAGACTCGCTAGTTTTTTTTTATCACACTGTGCTGCCAACTAATATTTTTTAGCGCTTAGATATTTAAAGAAAAGCGCTATATACCCTAGAATTGCACTAGATCTAGTGCCAAATGCGCTCAAACGGCAACTGAGTTAGCTTGATGTTTGTCTACCTACCCCCTCGTGCCGCCCACATACTTCGGGAGGTGACAAGCACTTGCGCGCACACTATACATATAGGTCACTGCTATTGTCTTATTATTGTGTCTGAAAGTCGGATAATGAAAGTGCTAAAATTCATTTAAAAATTCTATAAACGAAATTATTGTAAAGTGAGATATGTTAAAAAAGTCCTGCTGGTGTAACATGTGTAAGTAAATATTTAATATTTAATTAAATATTATCACTATAAAATTGAGCCGTGGTAGCTCAGATGGTTAAAGATCGCTGTAACTATAACAGAACGCGAGTGACCCGGGTTCGATCCCCGCCGGCACCAATGAAATTGTTAATTGCGGAGAACCAGCAAATGAAATTGTAATTGCGGAGAACGTCATAACAGCGAGCGACACCGACGACTCACGTCGTTAACGAGCCCTTCGCTTATTCTGTCTTATTTGATCGTAAATTATTTAACACAGCTTTATGTATGTGGACTATGAAAAAGTCTTTGAATCCGTCGAAATTTGGGCGGTGCTACAGTCCCTTCAGTGGTGCCAAGTTGACTGTCGGTATATCGAAGTGCAGATGTTTTTGTACAGTAGGGCTACGATGGCTATCCGAGTACAGAAACGTGCATTGTAAGACGTTTTCAAGCTATTGGACTGGAAAGGATACGGTATTAACATCAATGGTGATTACATCACTCACTTTCGATTTGCCGACGATATAGTCCTTATGGCAGAATCCAGACCAGTCCTAAGCATTATTCTCAATGACCCCAATAGTGTCCTCCAACGGATCTTAAGATGATGTTACGGCCCTCAGTTGCCTTGACAGAAGTCGACTGGACTAGGGCCCATAGTAACTCAACTCGACGAGCAACCGAGGGTTCGGGCCCAAATGGCCTATGGATAATTAGTTTATAATGGCTGGATAAGCAAACACAAACTTACCGAGTTCCGGAGGTAGGGTCGACCACAAGGTACCGTCAGGGGCAAGTAAATGGTAGTGTGAGTGGTGTAGGAAGGTGTGTAATGTAACCTGACGTCACCGATGTAATCGGCTAGCAGACCCACATGCGTTGCCCAGCTCCACAAGGTGCAATCACTCCAGTGGGCATTCACCGTTATCGGAACTCAAGTCCAACGTCACTTAGCACAAACTATATTCGAATAGGGACGCGATCTCCTCCTGGGTCACAAAGTTTAGCGTTCCACCCGACAAAGCAAAAATGCCTTCGTACGATATTAAGATACTACACAAGCCACTCGTCGACGTAAATTAATGGCAATCGAAGTTACATTAATCACTCAAACTCAAGGAAAGCCTCGTTGTACCACACGTATACGTACAAAATAAGACAACGCAAGGAGGCCGACGTAATTCGACGTAACGATTCTTACGTAACTCCCTACCTCTAATCGACACGGCCGTCGCGTACAATCAAATATTCTAGACTAATTGGCATCGCCGCAGCCCGCCGTCAAACAGGTTTCTCGCCCGAGACGAACGTTTTCGCAAGTTTTAAGTAGTTACGATTTGGCCTAAACAGATGAACGTGGACAAAACGAAGATCATGTTTAATGTCTATGTTACATCTACGCCGGTAGTTGTTGGGAGCACTAAGCTCGAAGTTGGTGACGGGTACGTTTGCCTGGGACAAATAGTCCGACTAGCAACGACAGATTTAACTCGGCTGGGCAGCGTTCGGGAAATTACGACACGTCTTCTCGTCAGTTATACCTCAAAATCTGAAAACTAGATTGTACAACCAGTGCGTATTGCCAGTGCTGACTTGTGAACCTGAGATGTGGTCCTTCACTGCTAGCCGTATGAGGACGCAGCGAGCTATGGAGAAGGATATGCTCGGAGTTTCTCTGCGTAATAAACTCAGAAATGAGGATATCCGCAGTACTCGTAAAACCAAAGTAACTGAAATAACCCAACGGATTAGTAAGCACATTTACATAGTACATTGCTTCGTTATAGTACCTACAACACAGTACGAAAGGGTCGGCTCGACTGAGGAAGGACCACGCTCTCATGGAGTACAGCGTAAAATAGCAGCTTAACGCTGCTGTGTTTCGTACGGTGAGTGTACGTCAGGGGTGACAACACATCTACATTTTGATTATTAATCGAGGATAAATGCAGATGTCTATGGAACCGTGGAAATCGCTTGCCATCAGGTGGACTGTGAGCTTGTTATTCATCCGTATCTTATAGACAATACTGGGGATATCACAATAACAATGTCGTCTAAATGATTAAATCATAAATTTCTTATTTATTTTATTAGTAAAAGTTTATTATTTATTACTAATTTTTTGAGTCCAATAGGAAACACTATACGGTGTTGGTGTTGGAATAAGTGCAGCCTTAGTTAATTACCAAAGAAAATAACGGGTGTGCCGTGCACACGCGGCACAAGTGAAACGTTCATAAAAACAGACCGAGATGATCGGGAACACTGTACATAGTATTCTTAGTCTCATTCTCTCGCAGGCTGAATTCTATAGATGTATGTGTTTGTCTCTTTTTGACGTTAATACGTCTTTGAATTTGCTTCCATCATCATCATCATTACATCCCTTCACAAGTCCACTGCTGAACATAGGTAATGCCACAAAGCACGGTCCTGAGCCACCTGCATCCATCGACTTCCTGCATGTCTTACCAGGTCGTCACTCCATCTAATGGGGGGTCGCCCTACACTACGCCTACCGGTACGAGGCTGCCACTCGAGAACCTTTCTTCCCCATCGGTTATCGGTTCTTCGAGCTATATGGCCGGCCCATTGCCACTTAAGCTCACTAATCCGTTGGGCTATGTCGGTCACTCTGGTTTTACTGCGGATATTTTCATTTCTGTGTCTAACATGCAGAGAAACTCCGAGCATAGCCCTCTCCATAGCTTGAGGACACTTGCTTCCATTGTGTGAGGCAATTCAGAAAACTGGTGATAACAAAATCGGGGGATAGTTTGGCATTGTAGTTGCATATCTATCATCTATATCAAAAATTTAATTACACGATTCGATAGCTAAAGGATGAAAGAATTCGTTATGTTGAGTGAGGATTGTGATGCGTTGCACGCGGTGGACTGTGCGCCGCCATTTTGAGGTATTTTTGTTGCATCAAATAATGCCTTTTGTACGCCGATGATCAAGTTATACTTGCGTCGTCGGCGGCCGAGTTGCAAATGATGGTTACATTAATGAACAGATCATTAAAAGAAAGGGGTATGAAAGTGAACGCAAGTAAGACGAAGGTTATGGTTTTTGAAAGAGAAGAAAGTAAAACGATTTGTGAAATAAGAATAGAAGGGGGAGTTGATCGAGCAAGTAGACGAGTTTGTATATTTGGGCTGCGTATTTAGCAGGGATGGGAGATATGATAAGGATATAGAACGACGAGTGAATGCGGGAAATAGAGTAAATGGGGCCCTGCACTCTATTGTGAAGAGTCAAAATGTGTCGAAAAAGGCACGTATGGCAATTCACAATGCTGTGTTGGTCCCTACTTTAACATATGGTAGTGAAAGTTGGGTGTGGCAGAAGAAGCACGAGAGTAGAATGAACGCAGTAGAAATGCGGTCGTTAAGGAGTATGTTAGGGCTGAATCTTAATGACAGGGTAAGAAATTGTGTAATAAGAGAAGAGTGTGGTTTGCAAGATGATGTTGTGACCAGGATTAAGAAAGGAATGCTTCGGTGGTTTGGTCATGTGGAAAGAATGAATGAGGAAAGAGTGACAAAGAAAATTTATGTTGCAGAAGTGAATGGCAGAGTCGGAAAGGGACGTCCTAGGCGAAAATTTATCGACCAAATTGGCGATTTATTGAAAACGGGCCAAATTAGGAGTACCCTTAACCGACGAGCATGTATGCGGAGGTGTATGGATGTGAAGGAGGCGAGAGAGGTGTGTCAGGATCGTGCCAAATGGAAGTCTGTAGTCTCTGCCTACCCCTCTGGGTGACAGGCGTGAGTGTTTATGTATGTATGTATGTATGTATGTCAAATAATTTCCGTTTAAGATAAATTTTGACGTTACTTACACGTAGTCACGTTAAACACACGGCCGAGTCCACGACAAAAACATAGTGTTTTTAGTGTCGTTTCAAATTACAAAAAATCTAAATACGTTTTTACTTCATAAAATTATTCTATTTTATTTGATTGTTCTATTTTACGTGATTTTTTGTTTGATGGTGGGGCAGGTGGGCGCTACGTACAAGACGACGGAGCTGAGCAAGGCGTTCCCCGCAGCGTTCCTGGAGGCGCTGCTGCGGCTGTCGAGCGCTGCGGAGCCGCACACGCGCGCGCTGCTGCAGCGCATCCTGCACACGCTGCTCGACCGCCGCCGCAACGCGCCGCTGCTCGCCACGCCCACGTAACTACCCACATCATACACGCACACGAACACGCGCGCGCTGCTGCAGCGTATCCTGCACACGCTGCTCGACCGCCGCTGTAACGCGCCGCTGCTCGCCACGCCCACGTAACTACCCACAACATACACGCACACGAACACGCGCGCGCTGCTGCAGCGTATCCTGCACACGCTGCTCGACCGCCGCCGTAACGCGCCGCTGCTCGCCACACCCACGTAACTACCCACATCACATATACACACACGCACACGCGCGCGCTGCTGCAGCGTATCCTGCACACGCTGCTCGACCGCCGCTGTAACGCGCCGCTGCTCGCCACGCCCACGTAACTACCCACATCACACATACACACACGCACACGCGCGCGCTGCTGCAGCGCATCCTGCACACGCTGCTCGACCGCCGCCGTAACGCGCCGCTGCTCGCCACGCCCACGTAACTACCCACATCACACATAGACACACGCACACGCGCGCGCTGCTGCAGCGTATCCTGCACACGCTGCTCGACGGCCGCTGTAACGCGCCGCTGCTCGCCACACCCACGTAACTACCCACATCACACATACACACACGCACATGCGCGCGCTGCTGCAGTGTATCCTGCACACGCTGCTCGACCGCCGCTGTAACGCGCCGCTGCTCGCCACGCCCACGTAACTCCCCACATCACACATACACACACGCACATGCGCGCGCTGCTGCAGCGCATCCTGCACACGCTGCTCGACCGCCGCCGTAACGCGCCACTGCTCGCCACGCCCACGTAACTACCCACATCACACACATACACACGCACATGCGCGCGCTGCTGCAGTGTATCCTGCACACGCTTGCTCGACCGCCGCTGCAAACGCGCCGCTGCTCGCCACGCCCACGTAACTACCCACATCACACATACACACACGCACATGCGCGCGCTGCTGCAGTGTATCCTGCACACGCTGCTCGACCGCCGCTGTAACGCGCCGCTGCTCGCCACACCCACGTAACTACCCACATCACACATACACACACGCACATGCGCGCGCTGCTGCAGTGTATCCTGCACACGCTGCTCGACCGCCGCTGTAACGCGCCGCTGCTCGCCACACCCACGTAACTACCCACATCACACATACACACACGCACATGCGCGCGCTGCTGCAGTGTATCCTGCACACGCTGCTCGACCGCCGCTGTAACGCGCCGCTGCTCGCCACACCCACGTAACTACCCACATCACACATACACACACGCACATGCGCGCGCTGCTGCTGTGTATCCTGCACACGCTGCTCGACCGCCGCTGTAACGCGCCGCTGCTCGCCACACCCACGTAACTACCCACATCACACATACACACACGCACATGCGCGCGCTGCTGCAGCGCATCCTGCACACGCTGCTCGACCGCCGCCGTAACGCGCCACTGCTCGCCACGCCCACGTAACTCCCCACATCACACATACACACACGCACATGCGCGCGCTGCTGCAGCGTATCCTGCACACGCTGCTCGACCGCCGCTGCAACGCGCTGCTGCTCGCCACGCCCACGTAACTACCCACGCACCTTACACCGTCCACCACCTACCGTCCGCTGTAGAGTGATACTATACTCATAAAGTGACAACCTGGTAAGACTTTCAGGAAGTCGATGGTTGCAGGTGGCGCAAGACCGTGCTTCGTGCGACTTACTAAGGGCTTTAATTATAATAACGAAGACTAATAATCTTACGCTCCATAGATGCCGCTGATTGGGACCGAGGAGATTTTATTCATCACAGAAATGATCACACAATGTTATCTTTATCGTGAAGTTTTTTTCAGGTGGACAGTCCATGTTCGTTTGTTACCCTCCTCCTATAGAAAAAGTTGCGTTTCAAATAAAAGTTTCTGCTTCTAGTGTATGTTTACACAAAACAATGCCTAGTGCTGAGTTCTTAAATTTTTTACACATTTTAAGCTTATTTACATTCTACTTTTAGAAATATCTGTAGTTTGGTTTATCCGTTTCTAATCTTATTAATATAAATATAAACAATATTTTAAAAACTTGTATAAATATTTAAAAAACATTAATATCTACACTTTTCTAACACATTAATTTATCTGCCATAAAATCTGTCAAATATTATACCTCATTTTTGTACTTGACACCCCTGGTGGCTGAAAAAGTCGTCATTGAAACCATTGAAGTAATAATATGTACTACCTACTAGCCTCCCCGGAACAAAGTCAGTGCGGCAGATTTTATCGCGTCGTAGGAAGCACAAAGTAACTTTTTATGACACAGTGAGTTTGAGCCTACGGGCTTACTTAGTCTATTTTATACAAGCCAACAAAAAAGTTTGTAGAAGAATTGTGTACTGTTATAGGCTAGGGTGAAAAACATAATATAATAATAGAGTGAAAAATATAATATCGTATGTATTATTATTTAATTTTTGCTTTGAGATGGGGTTTGACACGTAAAAACGGTGCGATTTTATGTTTCAAAAATCTGCACTTGTTGCTTCGAGGAAACGATGAAACAAATGCTCCGATAGTGATATGAATTGTAAGGTTTTTATACGAATGATCGGCTTGAGATACCATCGTTATCAACCATCCACCAGGTTAAACTGACGTCAAAATCTCCCAAAAACTTGCAGTGTAATTCAGCATATTGTAAGGAATTTCGTGCATAAAATACACGCTGTGTGGTGTAATATTTTCACTGTTTTATTTGGCGTATCGTAACCAACAAACCATCATCATACCATCGAATTAAAGTTTTATTGCATTTGTAACACCTACATATACTCTATTTTTTAGTGTGGATTATGCAGAGCTTGGGCTAACAGTGGAGAAGTGTTCTCGACCAGATTTGATTTTCATCAGCAAGCATGGTTACGCTATCTTCAGCTCATTGTACGATGGTGAGTCCATATTATCTTGTTATAAATTTATTAATGTTTAATACCTCTCTCCGGTCGTATCGGACTGCCGTCCCATCGGATTATGAGAGTGAGAGAATAGAGAGTGCACATGTTCTTGCGCACACTCGTGCTCACTTCCATTTTAATCCTGTTCTTTGTAAACTATTTTTATGCCAAATTAAAACAAATTTCATAAAACAAAACTTGTATCTTGGGTATTAAATTTCTTCTGAATCAAGTGAGTTCATTAAAATTGTTTATTTTTAAGAAAATATTCTCCTTATGATTATCCAAATTCCTTTTATTCGAATAGGTAAAACAAAAGTGCGTGGAGAAGTGTACGCACTTTTGTTTCTTCTGGTATTCGAATGTGACCTACTTCAAAACAGCTTACCTCTTTTTAAAAGACCGACAACGCACCTGCAATTTAACTGGTGTATCAATTGTTCATGGACGACGGTGATGAATTATCATCATCTGAACCGTATACTGGTGACGCCTCTTTCGTAAACAAAATTTGGCGGCAGATGCCAACCCGCCAATTAAGCGTGGCAGCTCTAGCAAAATATATCCTCCATGAGGCAATATATGGGGGGAGGCCTATATTCAGCATTGGATTTTGATAAGAAAATTTAATGCATTAATGAAACCCACAATATCTGTCAAATACACAAAAATAGCAATAATTGCAAACGAGCTAACTATAATTTATTTTAAATTTTTAATTAAAACTTAATTAATCACTAAAAGCAATGTGGTACGTAATCATCTGTATCTTTTATGGAATAAGGGTGACAAACGAGTACACAGTCCACCTGATTGTTAGTGCATGCTGTGGCCCATAGACATCTACATTTATCCTCGATGACGAATCAAAATGCAGATGCGTTGTCAGTCGTAAGGACTGAGATGGAATACCTCGTATCCAGTAAAAATGGTCTCCGGTTCTCTACACTCACCATACGAAACACAGCAGCATTAAGCTACTATTTTACAGTTTAATTTTCTATTTTGCGGTGTGACTCCACTACGATTTAAACAACACTTATTAAATGCAACACATATTGAAGATAACAACACTTTCTTATATGTCATATCTATTGCTAAGCAGACATATGTATAATCATAGTTATTTGTATGTACTAATTATATATATATATATATATATATATGTATAGTTTATTATTAGTAATATACATATATTACGTATTTAATTATCGTTTTTGTTTTGTTTTTATTCTATATTGCTATAGCTACGCCAAATTCTTACCACTCCATGAGTCGACTGGTAGAAAATACCTCAAGGTGCTAAGTCCGCCCTTTGTATTATTTTGTTATGAGAAATGCAATAAAAAAACATAACATAAACACTCACGCCTGTCACCCAGAGGGGTAGGCAGAGACTACGGACTTCCATTTGGCACGATCCTGACACACCTCTCTCGCCTCCTTTACATCCATATATCTACGCATACATGCTCGTCGGTTAAGGGTACTTCTAACGTGGCCCCTTTTCATAATATCGCCAATTTGGTCGATAAACTTTTTTCCAGGGCGTCCCTTCCCGACTCGGCCGTTCACATCTGCCATATAAATTTGCTTTGTCACTCTTTCCTCATTCATTCTTTCTACATGACCAAACCACCGAAGCATTCCTTTCTTAATCCTGGTCACAACATCATCTTGCATACCACATTTATCTCTTATCACGCAATTTCTCACCCTGTCATTCAGATTCAACCCTAGCATACTCCTTAAAGACCGCATTTCTACAGCATTTATTCTACCTTCGTGCTTCTTCTGCCATACCCAGCTTTCACTACCATACATTAAAGTAGGGACTAACAGAGCATTATGAATTACCATACGTACCTTTTTTGACACATTCTGGTTCTTTATAATAGAGTGTAGTGCCCCATTCACTCTATTCCCTGCATTTATACTCGTCGTTATATCCCTATCATATCTACCATCCCTGCTATATACACATCCCAAATACACAAACTCATCCACTTGCTCAATTAACTCTCCTTCTATTCTTATTTCACATACCGTTTTGCTTTCTTCTCTTTCAAAAACCATCACTTTCGTCTTACTTGCGTTCACTTTCATTCCCCTTTCTTTTAATTCCCAGTTCATTAATGTAACCATCATTTGCAACTCAATCGCCGATGACGCAAATATGACTTGATCATCGGTATACAAAAGGCATTTGACGGTTAACTCGCCCATTCTTAACCCACATTCTTCATCTTTCAAAGTTTGCAAACACCTGTCCATAAATAGGTTGAACAGCCAAGGGGAAGCTACACAGCCCTGTCTGACACCTTTTTGGATGCCAAACCAGTCCGAGTAGACCCCATTTATCCTGACACAAGCACTACAGTCCCTATAAAGAGACCTTAATGTCTGTATCAAACCAGCGCTCAACCCATATGAGTTCAGTGTTTGCCATAACACATTCCTGTCCACTCTGTCATAAGCCTTTTCCAAGTCCATGAACGCACAAAAAACTTTCTGGTTTTTGGCCAAAAACTTCTCCGCAATCATGCGCATGGAAAAGACTTCATCTGTACACCCCATTCCCTTTCTAAAACCCGCTTGCACATCCCAAATTTTTCCATCAGTTTCTTTCATAACTCTTTCAATTAACACCTTAGCATACAGTTTACCCACAATACTAAGCAAGCTGATACCACGGTAGTTTTTGCAGTCTGTGTGACTCGTGAAATGCAATAAAGAATATACAAATAAAAATGTACACATTACTCTACACCTGCCCTCTTCTCAATTCTCTTATAATTTCGTTCTTTATTCCTAGGTCTCCAACTGGAATCGAATACATTGGAGAACGTGGAAGCTATTTATACCACGCTGGCGCTGCTTTGCATCGAACTGGCCTCGGAGGAGACGGTGTGCGATATGCTGCAGCTGATATTGGCGTAAGATACATTCAAAAACTCATCATCGTCATCATTTATCACCATTGCAGCTCATCGCTAGTGCACTGTTGAACAAAGGTCTCTTAAAAAAAAATTCTGTCACAATCAAATACTCTCGCAAATTGAAAATTCTTGAAATAGTTGATGCTTAGAACAAAAGAGAAATACACAATTAAATTCAATTTATTATATATATTTATATTATTTAGTTTTTTTAAATAGCAAAAGGTAATAAACGCGCACGCAGTCCACCTGATTGTAAGTGCATGCTGTGGCCCATAGGCATTTACATTTATCCCCGATTAAAAATCAAAACCTAGATGCGTTGTCACCCCTGAGGACTGAGAGGTTGTGTACACTCACCATACGAAACACAGCAACATTAAGGGGATATAGTAAGTCAGCTCAAATTCTAATTTCGCCCCCACTTCCCTGCGCGTCGTATGCTATGTACCGATATGTTTGTAATCACTAATACTGTAAGTAGAAAGGTCGTTAGACACTTATTTCATTAGGTTTATCATATTTATGCCCGTTTCTTTACGCCAACCCAGTTGCTTCTTATTTTAATTACGGTTATTTCCCATTTTAATTTTACGTCGTCCTGTTGCGTAATGTGTATTCTGATCGTAAATGACACAACCTCCCCCTTCAAAGACCGAAGCGAAACTGACCGGGCGGCAGGAGTCACGCTTCAAGAGGCCGATAGTTTAGGTAATTTCTTTTTTACAGTGAAAATAATGGTATTTTAAAAAAAGTAAATAACATAAGCACTGCTTTATAGTTAGTTCAGTTAGTATGCAAAGTTTCATGATCTTATTCAAAGTATTTTATGAATAACATCGGTTTATTGTTTATTTTGGAGGTAACTGCATTACATAATGATTTCTTATATTTACGCGAACACTACACATTGAAATAATACTAGTTTTTACGGAATTTATCTCGTATATTTAACTTTTTAATTGCCCGACGTTTCGAGAGCTTTACAGCACTCATGGTCACGGGAAGGACTGAGATGTTCAACGTCCAGCTGTCATAGTTAACCGCGGTTACCATAGATTACATTTTTTTTAAATTTAGATTAAAATTTAACTTTATTTAATTTAATTTAACTTTAGATCGGAACAAAAGTTAAATTTTAATCTATGGTAACCGCGGTTAACTATGACAGCTGGACGTTGAACATCTCAGTCCTTCCCGTGACCATGGGTGCTGTAAAGCTCTCGAAACGTCGGGCAATTAAAAAGTTAAATATACGCGATAAATTCCGTAAAAACTAGTATTATTTCAAGGTAACTGGATTTTTTTTTCTATCGAGAAAATTTTACGGAATCGTGTTTTCGTCTAACATAATCCTTAACATTAATCCTCAACTTTACCATATATTTATTTCAAAATTAATGCTGCAATATTTTCATCATAACGGAGGATCTTGCTAAGCCATTTGAGGTTATATTTCCCCTTAAGCTGCTATTTTAGACTGGTATTCTGTGAGAGCGTGGTCCTTTCTCCTGACCATCGAATTTTCGGATTTTTAAGCGATAAATATTAATTTTTTCGATGATATGAAAGGCATGTTATTGAATTAGATTCTTCATCGGCTGCATTTTTATTCAGATACTTTATTATGTGATAATGAGCAACAATGTTTCAAATACACATAGTTCGTGCTGGACAAATATGCATACAGTGAAGAAGTGTATCTTGCATGATTTTAATATGCAAATAGATTTGAATATATAAATTTTAACCAACTCAAAGTTCAAAACCTTAGTTTAACGAAGTTTGAATAAAAAGGGTTATAATAAGGAAATAAGGTGATCGCTATCAAGCTACTTCTAATTTGTTTTATGTTGATTAATGGTGTAACAAACATGATGATTAGATGCTATTTTTTTAAAGTTCCGTAGGTTTCTTGTTGGTTTTTCCCAGGACAGATGTTTTTTCCAATCTACGAGGGGTGATCCAAAAGTAATGATAATCGATTACTTCAGGTCCGCATAAAAATCCAAAAAAATATTTTTGCTTGCTTATATACTCACTACGTCAGCCTAAAAAAATCATATAAATACGAACTCGAAAACTCGAAACTCGAAATCATTTGAATACGAACTGTCAAAGAGATAACATCAACATGGAGAAAAACGAAATTAGAGCTGTCATCAAGTACCTTTGTTTGAAAAAAATGTCTTCAAAAGACATACACAGTGACTTAGTGGAAACATTGGGAGACTCTGCTCCTCCATATTCTTCAGTTGCACGCTGGGCCAAGGAGTTTAAACTGGGCAGAACATCCACTGAAGATGAACATCGCGAAGGACGCCCATCCACGTCCCTCACTGAAGACAACGTGAAAAAAGTCGAAGATGTTGTGTTGGCAGATCGAAGAGTGACCATCAGGCATGTAGCTGAGGTCACAGGGATCTCATATGGCAGCGTTCAAAGGATCCTTGCGAACGAGTTGCATATGAAAAAGATCTCTGCGCGTTGGGTACCCAGAATGTTAACCGACGAGCAAAAGAAAAATCGAGTTGACATTTCGAGGGTCAATCTCGAAAAGTTCCAAGCAGATCAAGAAAATTTTTTGTTCCGTTTTGTGACTATGGACGAGACCTGGATCCACTATTTTGATCTTGAAACGAAACAACAATCGATGACTTGAAAGCGAACCTCCTCACCGACGCCAAAGAAATTCAAAGTTTCAAGTTCGGCGGGAAAGGTTATGGCATCTGTGTTTTGGGACGTTCAAGGCATAATTGAGGAGGTACTTTTCAAAACTTGACTATTCCGCTTTTTGTGTTTTTGTATAATTTAAGGCAATATAATTTTAAGAGCACAGTTATGTGTTTAATATAAAATGTTGATGAATTATAATATACAACAAAAATAGTGATTATTTTGTATGACTTTCAAAATTTTTGCAGTAATATGATATAGAATAAATCTAGAATTTTAAAACGGAATAATCAAGTTTTGACTAGGCTGATTGGAATAATCAAGTTTTGTTATGTGCTTTAAAGGAATAATCTAGTTTTGATTCAAACCATTGTGGATTAATCTTATTTTGTTGAAATTAATTTAAAATGGTGTTTTACTTAATAAAATTCTTTATTTATTTATTATATCATTCTAATATTATACGTAATATTATTTAATAACTTTTTTAATTTTGCGTTATTTTCGGTTGCAAAATTAAAGCAGAACCGATTTCTGTTGCGCCCCTATTTGCTTGTATTTTAGTCCAATTGTAGAATAAAGGATTTTTAGTATTTTTGGCTACAATGCAAAATATATAAAAACTTATCTGTCGACTATAAAATGCTTCTTGAATCGGAGTGCGGGGGAGTGGTTGAACTTATTGCAGATCGAAACAGAATGTTAAAGAACCTTCTTGTTCTTCTTTGTTCATTAAGTCATAAAATGCTCTAGCCCTTTTGCTATTGATTCTTTTTTTCAGTCATTAAATTAACTTTTTCCGTACCTGTAGCAGTTTTTATTTTATGTTTTAATAATGTGCAATAAGTACATATATCTGACGATGGAGACTGAAACCCGATGTTAAAGTTGTTTATAAACACTGATCTAAAAAAAATTTTTTAGCTCTGAATGAAATCTCTACTGTTTCATTGTACATTTTTCTTAGTTTAGCTACATTTAGTTCTGAACTTAGGTATATACGCTCGGATTTTGCCCTATTATAATGAGATTCAACAGCTTCAAAATTATTAATAAATTCAATAATCTTCTGCTTGACATGTGCTGATTTCTTGCTTTTTCGGTCTCCACCTCTATTTTCTCTTATCACATCCCCATTGCCCAGTCTTCTCACAAGAATATCCACTCTTCCACTGTTTAATCCTAAAGCTTTTAAAAAAATCTCTTGCATACTCCCTTAGCATGACCATTTCTCAGTGGAAAAAAAGTGACTGATTTTTGCTTAGGTCTTGGCTTTGTGGGATTTGTTTTACTGTTGCAACGACGAACAGGTTCATATACCGAAATTAATCTCGACAAATAAGCATCCTGGTCCACTTTGGACTGGTTTTTGTACAATGCCTTACGATTTTTCAAAATATCTCTTCTTACGAATTTGTTGCAATGAAATTTGCTAATTTCGCTATGATTACAAGGCTTTTCAAATGCAAGTGCATATGGGTCACAGTCCGAATAGTCCCTGAAGCAAAAATATAGACCACGTTAATAAAAAATTACATTAAATTAACTCATAAACGCAGAAGTTTTAAGACAATGGATTTCTAGCTAGGTTTAAGACACAAAAACTTACTTCTTTCGATTTTGTCGTCCGCACTTTCTACTTCTTGAACCTGTATTTATATCTTGTACTGTTGTTTGAGACTGCATTTCTCAAAATTATTTTGATCCTCGAAGTGTCGAAAACACAATTCGCAACACATGCAACTGACCGCGACAGACAAAAATATTTGGAACATAAAAACAACTACCTTAAAAATATGAGGAAAAAACATGTTTTGTTACAATTTCCAGTGATAAAAAAAATATGTTCTGGATTAATCATATTTTGTTGCAATTTCTTAAATCCTTATTTTAAACCTTATTTTTTTAGGAATAATCTACTTTTGACGAAATCATGCGTTTTTAAATATATTTTTCTAGTTGATCTATCACGTTTTGTAAGGATTTTGTTTTCGATGCATATACATTTCAATGTAAACAACCTAAAAAAATTAAAAATTTACTTTGCGCGAAAATGGAATAGTCAAGTTTTGAAAAGTACCTCCTCAATTATGGTGGAATATTTGGAAAAGGGAGCCACTATTACGGGCTCTTACTACGCAGACCAAATAAGAAGATTACGGGAGGCCATTAAGGAAAAAAGACGCGGCAAACTGCGAGCAGGAGTGCTATTTCACCAAGACAACGCACCGGCTCACAAAGCCGAAGTTGCGATGGCTGCCATTCAAGAAACGGGATTCGAACTGCTCGAACACCATCCCTATTCGCCAGATCTAGCTCCT